CTTAAAAAAAAGAATAGGTAGGTTTTGCTTATTCCAAAAAGTAAGGCAAACATCTGGTACACAGTTCTTTCGTTACTGATTTTCTGAAGACTCTAATATATGGAAGTAAATTGGTTTCTTTGCAATTTCTCCCCCTTTAGTTTTGCTCTATGCAGCCCAGGGAGCAAATACAATCCTTCTCAAAAATAAATGTTCAAATGTTTGGAGGCAGTTATGTTTTTCCAACTTAGATTTGTCTTTTGGAGGTTCCTTAAGTTACTAGCAGGGTCGCTCTTGGGAGACACACTCCCCTTTGTTAGGCTGCTCACGTGGGCTCTTTCTTCCTGTGCACATGGAGCAGAAGAGGGACTCAGCAAGAGGTCACTGCAGTGGGTTCGGATCATGACAGTGGACAGAGCAAAGACGCGCAGTTTTGTTCTGGGTCTTCAGGGTCAGCTTCTTGGGACAGTGATTTCTGTTTTTCTTCTCTTTTCATTTCTCCACATTTATTGAGATGTAACTGGCATAAGACCGGGAGTCTTGAGCTGAGTGCTAGGGAGAGGAGAGAGGCAGACTCGACAGTGAGAAGTGCATTCAGGGTCAGATGGAAGTGTGGAAGCCAGTGGGTTGGGAACTGTGGCTCTGGCTGCGAGGGAGGAGCTGGGGGAGGGCCAACACCCCGCCAGACACCTTCCAGGGTGGAAGTAGAGCACTTGTTTTTTGCTCTTGGCGGTAATGTCTAGAATTTACATTTTGTGTTAATTTGGCCTCATTTACATAATGCCTTATTATAAAGAATCGCTTAGATGTTGCCTAATTGCCTTCTTGCTCTTGTTTCCTGAGGGCTCAGATCATCAAGGTAACGAGTGACCTTTGTTCAGCTAAGGCAGAGAAATGGATGCGATATTTCATTGTCACAGACTCTTTGCTTTCATATTTTTTTGATATTTGTTTTTCCTAGCCCACAAAGCCACGGTACTTTCTATAGTTTCTTTTGTACTTGTCCACTTGCATATGTGTTTTCCTTGTAGATATGGTATGCATGCTTTCTGTAACTGTTAAATATGTTATTATATAATTGCTGCTTTCTTTGCTTCTCCAGCATATTCTTAATTCTAGTGGTTCATAGATACCCAATATTCCATTGAATAATCATTGGGAAATTATTATGCTTCAGTTTTTCAGTAGTTTATGCAATATCACGATAATGATTTTTGCATCTAGAGCTTATTTCTTCTGTTAGATCAATTTTCTAAGAGTGTCAGTAACTCAGCTTCCCATTGGGAAAAATTGGGTTTTGTGATTTAGGCTTTTGGCCTCTCATTCTGGTACATCAGCAACGACTTGGGCAGGAACTTTTGGGCATTCTCCCACATCAGTCGGACGTGTTGACGTCACATTCCGCAGGGTGAGCCCAGAAGTCCCTGTCCTCAAGGGACTGTGATGCGTGGGGAGGCCGCAGCCGCAGCCGCAGCCCGGACTGTGGAAACAGTCCCAGAGAGATCGTAATGGTCAGGGAAAAGGCACTTCAACCTGAAGAGCTGAAGTTCCTCTCTATTTCCCCCTGGATTTGCTTTGAGTCTTCATCCTTCATCCCCAGCTCAGAACTCATTCTGCACTTAGTCATCTTTGAAATATTTCAGTCACTTTTCCTACTTTGCTGACATCACTTACTATTTGAGCAGACCCTTCTCTCCTTCTTAGTGTTTAAATTATTGCTGTTGTATTTGTCCCTACCTCCTATTCACTGCCCATCTTTTAAAGTTTTCTTCTATCAGTAAGTTGGTTCCTAAGGCCCTGGAGAGCTTTCTTCATCTCCGTATACACCAGCCGTATGACCGTCAATGGCAGGCCTAGGGATTTACACTAGAGAATGTTCACACAAAACGTGGACCTGAATTGTGTAACAGCTCTGTTCATAACCATCAAAAGCTGGAAACAACCCGCATGTCCTTCCACAGGCCAGTGGAGAGGCTGCGGTGCGTTATATGTTGGAATACTACTCAGCGACGGAAAAGGAATGGACTATTAATACACGCAACCACTTGGGTAAACCTCAAAATAGTTATACTGAATAAAAAAAGTCAGTCTCAGAAGGTTACATACTGAATGAGTCTATTTATACAACATTGTTGAAAAGAGAAAGCTATAGTGATACAGAACAGATTTAAAAATTAATGTTAATTTGAAAAATATTAAAAATACCCCAATTTTGTCAAACTATAGAGTCATACGTCTTTTGGCAAGTTACTTCATCTCTGTAATCTCCATTTATTTTCCTATAAAGTGTAGAAAGTGCTCCCTACCTTGAAGTGGTATTTAAAGATGAAATAAGATGTTATAAAGTATCTACTTGACATTCAGGAGGCTCCTGTATTTTCTTTTCCTTGGTGATATTTCCCACTGGGAGCAGATTCTTTTTGTTATCGTCATCTCTGTGTGTGTGTGTGTGTGTGTGTGTGTGTGTGTGTGTGTGTGTTAACAGTTATTTGGGTCTTGGGGAACAGATTGGAGCCATTGGGGGTTTCAAGCAGGAAGGTGATATGACAGGACTGTAGTTTAAAATGACCCTCTGAGCAGCTTTTGAAGGGCAGTGCGGAGTGTAGGAGGGTGGGCACGGTATCAGTGGGGCCAGAAGAGTGTTGGGGGTCACCCAGATTTGAGACGATGGCGGAGTGGAGCCATGGAGGAGGAGAGGTTTGGGAATTTTTTTTTTTTGGAGGTAGAGCCAATGGGCTTGATGATGGTTTGAGGGGAGAGGCAAGGTAGATGCCGGGGTCATTTGCTGCAATGAGAAACTGCAGGGTGAAGCAAACTTCAGTGGTCGGGTGGTGGCGGGCACAGAAGAGCAAGAATCCTGTTGGGACGTGTTAGGTATGGGAAGCAAGTGCGCAGCTGGGTGCGGGATCCTGGGGCCCAGGACCCAGCCAGCCCGGTCTCCCTCCAGTCTGGGCTGCGGCCCACGGAAGCCTCACGCCTCCTGGCCCCGCCCTCCCACGTTAGGCACGGGGAGCTTTCGTCTGTGCTTCCCTTGACCCTGCCTCGGGGTCTTTCGCCAAGTACCTATCTGCAATCCATTCCTGAGAAGGCTTGTAGAAACTTCTACCAGAATTCAGATTATGCTCATGTCATTCACTGCTGCCAGACCACCCCCCAATTTTCCATTTAATGAGCTTTAGGGAGACATTCAACATTTCCAAATACCCTGCCTGGAAGTTGTCAATCACACTGTGTATGATCAGAAACTACAATAGTGACCCCGTTGTTTTTCTTTTTTTTTTTTTAAATGTACGAGGCTGATGCCAGATAAATTTTATTGTATTTAGAAAAAAAAAGGAACGGGAAATAAAAGTCAGTCAACCACAATGAATGAGCGTGTTTAATGCCCCCCACCCCATACTCATCTAGTGGCAGCATTGGGACCCCCGCCCAAGCCAGTTTCAACCCAACCAAGATGCTGGATGGCAGGGGGGCACTAGGCTGGGCCCATCAAGTCGAGGAGGGCGATGGAGCGCAGGGTGCCTCTGCTCTGCTTGCTGGGTTCTCCTGTGTAGTAGCCAGAGGCATAAAGGACTCGTCCAATGATCTAGGCCAAGCCCAGGCTGGAGACTATTTGTGGGTAGTACACCCCCCTCCCCCCACAGCTAGGACGGATAAGAAGGGAGGGTAGACTTCCAACGTGTTCTGGTGGGCTCGCTGGATGCAGTCGAAGCGGTGTCCGTTCTCCGGGCCCAAGCTGTACGTGGTGGGATGCTCTGCCTGTGCTTCTTGCGGGCCTTGGCAAGGTGGATGGCGAGGTGGGCGGCCATGAGGAAGCCGGCGGCCCCCGTCAGAACCACGAACCCACACTCCTTGGAGAGGACGGCCATCTCGGCCCTGGATCACCTCGGAAGGGCTGGCACAGACCCCAGGTGCGCAGCCAAGTGTCAGTAGTGACCCCTTCTCCACAGAAGATATGGTCCAAGACCCCCAGTGGATGCTGGGAACCACGGACAGTACTGAATCTTATATATGCCGTGTCTTTCCTTCTCACTGAAGGGGAACACTCCCTCTTTGGCATATCCAAATTGCCAACGTTGCTGCGCTTATGATTTGTTAAGTAAAGTTAGGCTTCCTTGAACACAAGCACAGTGGCACCATGATAACTGAGAGGGCTGCTAGGTGACCAATGGGCAGGGGGCGTACACAGTGTGGATACACTAGACAAAGGGATGATTCCCATCCTGGGCGGGGAGCAGCAGGATGGTGCGAAATTTCAACACGGTACTCAGAATGGCACAGAATTTAAAACTTATGAACTGCTTACTCCTGGAATTTCTCATTCAATATTTTTAGACTGCAGTTGATGGTGGGGAATCGAAACTGGATGAGGGGGCACTGCTGTGTTAATAAACTAACCAGAGTGATGAGGAATACGCAAATGCATTCTATACATTACTCTGTGTCTGGTTCTCTTTGTCATCCTCAAACTTCCGGTTTTGCCTCAGACAAGGGAAAGAAATCCCAGATATAATTTTCCTTGACAAATGTCACCTTCAGTGTGTTGAGTGTCAGCTAGCCACAGGCCCTGGGAAGGGAGGAGGGGGGAGAGCACCCCTCTGGGGAGAGGTGCCGAGGAAGTCCCAGGCATCTGTGAAAAGTTCAGGTTCTGTGGAGCCAGGTACTGGGTCAGTGTCTTCATCTGACTCATCAGCGTTGAAAGTCTTTGATAATTAATGTTTGTCCTTTAAACACATAAATGCTAATTTTAAAATTTACATGTGAGAGACCATGCCTTCCCTCCACCCAGCCCATCCTCATCAATCACCATGAAGACCGAGTGACTGGGTTTTTCTCTCAGAAAATGTAATTACTGAGTAATGAAATGTTAATGCTATGCTCTATTCTTAAAGTCACTTGTTCCAGTGATGAAGCTGTGCCCAGACAGAGTTGCTAAATTTTCCTCTCAGTCATTCTTCCAGTATTTTCTGTTTGTCAGATGAGCTGGCGATGACCTGGGGCTTCTTTGTTTTTACAAACAGGACTATCTCAGCAAAGACTCACCATCAGGCCGTCAACTTCAACATCTTCGAGGGCATGGTTTGCCACGGGGTGCCCCTGGCGACGATTTCCAGAGGCAAAGTGGTGTACGAAGCTGGAGTCTTCAATGTCACAGCGGGAGATGGGAAGTACATCCCTCGCAAGCCGTTTGCTGAGTATGTTTACAAGAGGATCAAGCAGCGGGACCAGGTGAGTTGTGCCTGAGCGACGGTCACCGTGGGCTGGCCTGTCAGCCAGTCCTGGTGGTGGTGACGCATACCCTCAATTCAGTACATTTTTGGGACGTCAGAATTGACAGGAAAGGTCCCAAACAAATACCCATCTTCAAAGAAAGAACCGTTATTGGGTGGTTGCATTTTCCCGTACAGGCTGGCATCTATTCAGGTTTCCTGATGGACCAAGTCAGGTTTTTCCACACAATTCGGGGACACCCGGGGCTTTTGGCAGCTGAGTCAGTCAGGGTGCTCTGAGAAGCAGACACCCACATGCATAAAGGTGTGGCATTTCTCCCACACGGCAGGGTTCGGTGGCCCTCAGACTGGCACACTTAGCAGAGGAGCCAGCCCTGAAATGAGGGGCCCAGTTTTGTCACATTGTCCTTTGGAAGTGCCCCACAGAGTATGCGTTTGTCCTCGCCTGAGGAAATGTTTACTGACTTTAGAGAGAGAGGGAGGGAGAGAGAGATTGATGTGAGAGAGAAACATCAATTGGTTGCCTCCTGTACAAATCCCAACTGGGGACCAAACCCACAACCTAGGTATGAGCCCTGACCAGGAATTGAACCCACGACATTTTGGTGTACAGAACAACACTCCAACCAACAGAGCCACCAGGTCAGGGCCTCACTGGGTATTTTGAGTATTAAATAAAAACATTTGGTAGATTGTAAAATATTAGCAAAGTATACATTTTCACTATATAGATCACTTCTATTGACCCCAGGGTGGCTCATGTCCTAGCGATTCACTGTCCCTACAGAGGTCCATTCAAAGTATGCCGATGCCTCTCCGCTCAGCAGGCAGGCCCGGATTCATTCTCTGGGAGTCGCTGTTAACAGGATTGTTTAGTGTTGGCCGGTGTCTGCTGTTTGGTATTTGGAAGTTCTGTTGTCTTTATTGGTTCTTGAGCATCTTAGCCTCCATGGGCAGCATGGCACTAGAACCTTGTTCCCTCCAAATCCTCGGATGCTTCGCCCTGGTCTTCCCGTGTGTTGGATGCCGCACGAATGTCCTCTCAGCATTAGACAGACATTCAGCCGGGGGACTGGAGGCGGCGTCCCTGTTCTCACTGTGGTCATCTGGGAACCTGGGGAAGAAGCCCATATTATATATTGGCCGCAACCACTAGGACAACCAGCTTGTACTGAATACTGGTCCCACCAGACGCGGGCGCTCCTGTCAGGGCCTGGCAGCCCACCCTTCAGATGGAGATTGGCCCCTGGAGAGACCTGGCAAGCCCACTTTCCCTCGGAGTGGTAGGCTGAGTCTAGTTGGAAAACAAATGTGCACCTGGACTTCTGAATGACACAGTGGCGGTGAAGAGTCTGAGGCACCGGCACCTTCGCCACCTCTCCGCACTGCCGCAGCGACCACCCACTGAGGTCCTGAGCTATGCACAGCGTGCGGAGTCGGGGCACGGGCAGCACGGAGAAGGCCAGGGTGTGGGGCTAGCATTGAAGAGCTCTTGTAACCCACCGTGAAGGAGGAGAGAATATCTAAAGGCTAAAAGTACTGGGCAGCTGGAGACCAGAACTTAAACGATCTTTGATTCCTGTCAATGTACCTATCCAAGGGGAAGATGGTGACGTGTGGAACAGCAAAAGACCCCTCAGAGAGGGCCTGCTTATTTCTGAGGTGGCGGTGCCAGCAGCTGCTCTGGCAGGAAGCGCCAGGCTCCGCCTGCCCAGAGCTCCAGGCAGATAAGGAGGGAAACTGCGTGCAGATGAGACCTGGCCAGTCGGGTCAGAGACGTTTGCTGGTCACTGTGACCAGAGCGGCCAGCCAGCCTGGGAGGTGCCTGGTGGTGTTGCTAGTTCAGAGACTGAGCAGTCAGAGCGAGGCTCTCAGATCACCAGGGCAACTGAGGCCTGCCCAGGGGAGGCAGCCAGCTGCAGAGAGACGGAGACCTGGTGAACAGGTAAATGGTGAAGAAGCACAGCTAAGCAGTGTGGGGGAAACCGAGTCAGCCCAGGCCAGGACAACCCGCCCTGAGGAGAGAAAGCTCAGGTGGGGATCACCTCCCCGTGAACATGTTGGTAGGAATGGATCAACTGTTTATGAGCACTTGTTGTGGAGAAATAGCAGTTCACTGGCCCTGAGCCTGCTGGGAGAGAGACAGACAAGAAAACCGGTGGTTACAGACAACTGTGCTAAGCAGGATGGTGGGTGTGGCGGGAAAGCTTCCGTGGCTGACAACTGCCCGGGCTGAGTTACAGAAGATACATAGGAGATACTCGGGCAGAAAGGAGGGTGGGCAGAAAGAGCCAGGAAGGGTGCTGACCTGCCCGCTTGGAGTCCTGTACCACCCCGGAGCCTGCAGCTGGGTTCAGGGAAGGATCTTGGGAGGGACTGACCCGCCCTGGAGCAAGCCCAGCCCCGAGTGGGGAGGATGGGGGTGCGGGCCTAATGGTCCTGCCTAAGTCATTGGTGTTGGAGCTGAGTTCCTGAGGACACCCAAGGCAAGACAGAAAAGGGACAGCTGAGAACCACAAGCAAAAAAGTTTCAAAGGAGCCTTGGGGCCAAAGGGAGATGAAGGAGGAGCTGATGAGGGACACGCTGCAGGAAAGCAGGTGATGCAGACAGAGACCTGCCCACTTACGTCACTCTCTCCAGGGAGGAAGAGGCTGTGGAAACCGCTGTCGATTGAACTGAAATCTGCCACGGATTTTGCTGAGTACAAATGCCCAAAGGAAAGGAGAGGAAGGCGAGATCTGAGACTGTAGGCCAGACGAGGGGTAGAGGGAAGGTGGAAATAAATCCTGGTTTGTTTGGCCAATCCTGGATTTAATTCCATTCAGCACCCTTTATACTCTTATAAGCGTCCCAGTTTGAATGATAAATTGTACAGTCACCCTAGGTTTAAAGACACATCACCCAGCCTGGCTTGGAAAGGAAACCAGGGGAGGAAAGAACACAGAGACCGAAGACCTGGCAGTGAGGATGTGGTCAGAGTGAGGGCCAGTAAATGAGTCGAAAGTTGCAGGAGTGGATCGGCTCCGGCACCACAATGTCCAGGGGCTGGGGAGGGAGCAGAAAGGGAGGGCTGGCACGTCATTTCCCCTTGTCAATACTCTTCCGGACGATGACAGGATCTAGGATGGAGAGAAGGACTGAGTCGATAGTGAGCCAGAGTGGAAACCCCGCCAAGCATCTCACCAGACACAGAGGGAGACAGAGCCTTACACTGGCGGGCGGAGGGCAGGGGCCCTCCCGCTGACTGAGCGCCCAGTGTGTCTTTTTCTTGGCCTTAGCCTCTGTGCCTGCATTGCGTCTGCTCCATAAGTATCTTTTGATGATTGAAGGAAGTGCTTTGTGTCTGAGAAATCTCATGCATCTGCGAGAGGAGATGTAACTCGCCCCATTTCAGAGATGCACGGATGGGCTCAGAGGGGCGTTAGCTCGCCGGGGGCCTATCCCTGGTAAGTGGCAAAGTTAGAATTCAGGCTTCGATCTGTCTTGGTCCAAAGCTCGCATTGTCAATCACGACAATATATTAGTTTGGGGGGTCAAAATAAGACCTACAGTAATTTGTTATGATTCATCTGTGTGTGTATGTGTTACACACAGAGACACACGTGTATTTCATAATAAAGAGCCTATCATGTGGTAGGCATTCTTCTAAATGCCTCAATTATATTTAATTCTCTCAATGTTTTTAATCTTTACAACCACCCTATAAAGTAGGTGGTGTAGTTACCCCCAGTTCACAATTAAGGGAACTGAAGCATGGCGTTGAGTAACGCACCCAGGCATCTGCTTCCCGAGCCTGCCCCTGAGACCACTGCGATTGGCTGCTTCTCGACTCGTCCGTGGCTTTGTGTGCGTGTTTACAAACAGTTTGGTTTGGTTGCTCCTCGTGAATCCCTTTGTTTGTGAAGTCCACATTTTAACTCTGCTCATGCAGTAAGTTAATTCTAGCTGAGTCCAGCCCAGGGTTCTGCGAAGATGTGAGATTCTATGGAAGGCCTGCTACACACAGTGGCAATCAAGAAAATGAGGGGAAAAAACACACAAAATTGCTAGAATCTGAACCAAAATGACATCAGTCTCAGCAAGGTGCAACAGAGCACTTCAGGAATACAGATGTCTAGAGTGTTCGAAAGGATGAGGTGGCAGCAGGACTCGGGGGTGGCAGGCTGTGGCGGAGGCCCCAGTACAAGCTGCAGTGGAAAGATGGTCGGTAGAAAGTGTTCCCTGGGGCCTTGTCTGGCGCAGGTTAACTCCAGCGAAGAGCAGGGCAACGCAGGCACCCGAGGCTGCCAGGAACTTCTGTGAAAGGGCCGGTGTTGGGAGGCATAGGATCGGGTCACGAGGTTCGTTTTTGCTCTAACAATTTATTAAGGAAACTGCACTTAGCTTTGAATTCAGGAAGTCAATAAACAAACCACAAGAGAAAAATGAAATGTTCTTTTTTCAGACTTGCACACCTACCCCTGTGGAGCGTGACCCCTACGAGGGAGAAGTTATTGTCCTACAATAGAGAGAAACAGAAGAATCCATAGCTGGGACCGGGAAACAGACCTACCCCTGGCTGGAGTGCTGTTGGTGGAGGAAGAAAGTATTCCTGCATGGCAACATATAAAATTAGCATCTCTCTCTTCATAAGCATTTGAAGAGTCCATGGTCCCATGGTCAAGGTCAAAGGCTTCAAAGTGATACACAACTCAAGGACTATTGTTCAAAGGGAAGACTGATAAAATACTTCTTGACGCAGAACACTCAGATGAGCCTCCAGATTGCAGGAGGCCCTGGGCTAGAGGCGTGTTCTCGGGGATGTTAGGACACAGTCGACAGCGCTGTGGGGAATCAGACACGAGCCGGAAGCAGTAGACTGGTAGCACAGCCCACCTGTTGTTGAGGAACACTGCCCTGCCTAACACAGGGAGTACGATTTCCTGGCCCAATTTATAAATTGATGAAGACTTTATCTGGAAAAGCCAATCTTCATACTGTAAAGACAACTATATTCTAGAATTTAGAGTGAATGAAAAAATGAATCATGTGGCTTTTGGGGGTATAATTGTTTTCAGGAAAATTATTTGATGATATATGATGTACTTTATTTCACACTTAATTTTTGGAATGATAGTATAGATATGGTCATTTTTGAATAAGTGTTTTTGCCCTTTGTCAGTTTTCTCTTTGTGTTTTTTGACATTCAGAACTTTCTATTTTGTGAACCTATTACCATCATCCTTGCAAATTTTCTTTTTCTTTTTTTTAAGTCATTTTCTAGTCCTGCTGTGCCAGATGTCTATCTGACAGTGGCATTGCTGTGATTTAGGCATCTCTCTAATGTCATGTTCACTGACTTCATGAAATCTACATGCTTTCTGTTTCACAATTTCACTCGACTCTAAATTTCTGAAACCTGTGATATATTTTCAGATGTTTCAGAAGAAGGCAATCTGCAAACTTTTACCCCAAAGTTGACCTGAGGGATAGATGTTTGGGTCAGTTAGGGACCCTGTTTGTCAGAGGACTAACACCCCCAGTTCGGCACTGCACGTTTTTACATGACGACAACCTGTGTTTTCCTCCGTAAACCCCAGGACCAAAAAACACGGCTCCATGCATTCCGGGCTGTGCCTGCTTTCACGATTAAGCGTTGTGGGTCTTTATCAACGCTATAGAGCCAAACATTTCAGCTTTTATTGTCATTTCCTGATGATTGAAATTATTCTTGCCATCCAAGAAGACTGTGTGAAAAATTCAAAGGACGATTAGCCAGAGGAAGAAACTCTATTGAACGCTATCACATGCTTTTCGCAGCATTTGGGGAGCCGGCCATGTTTACTTTGAAGACGGCACCCCCTGAGGGCTGGGCTGGAGCCCTGCGTCTGTTTATGAAAGGGGCTGTTACACTGGGTTCCTTTCATTCTGTTCAAAAGTGGAGTCAGAGAAAAGGGCGATGCTGTGGCCATCACACCGTCTGCCATGGAGAAGCCGGCCTCATTCCAACTCCCCAAGGTCCCTTTGAAAGAAGAATCGCTCGGGGCCTCTTTGGTTTCCTTTCAGACGCAGTCACTGTCGTTCTCACTGTGACTTTGCTGCTGTGTAAAATTGAAGATATAAATGAATATTATTGTGATGGAAAGTTGGTGTGAAAATTCATTGATGATATACTTCAAAATGTTATCTTTGCTTGTACTAGATTTTTTACTTTGAATTTTTAAAAATCCCTTTTTTTGTTCCAAGTTCTTTTAAGGGCGACATTTGTTTAATATTAGCAAGCTATGATCTTACATTCTATTGTCACTAATAAACACTTAGTTCTTCATTATAATTAATAAACATTTAAACCTTCATTTTATGTCTGAGTTTTCCAACTAGTAGAATTGGGACACTGGGAGGTTGCTTTTGTTTCAAAAGCGTAATTTCCCTCATGACCTTTGCTCCAGCAACTCCTGGAAATCAGGTCCCTCAGCAAACCCCATGTAATCCAAGTGGATACTCAACCTCAGAATAACTCCAAGGTCAATTATCCAGTCGCTCCGATGAACGCAGGACCTGAGAGAACGCAGTGGAACTGGGATGGCTGACAGGGGCCCTCTCTCCTGCACTTCCCGGTCTGTGCGGGGATCCTTCAGTGTGTGCGCAGAAGCTGAGCTTACATTTCTCCTCCCAGGTAAACAGGTCAAGAGGGAGTTTATAAAATGTGGAGCAGGCAACACTCAGGGCAATTACGCTCTCCTTGCAAGCGTATCTGCCCCCGACTCACTCACTTGGATCAGGCCGTATTTGGCAAAGGGCGGTAGGAATCCACTCACTGAACTGTATCTGTATTGAACACACCTGAGAAAGGACAGGGACCAGCCCCTGACGAAGAACCACGGGTCTCTTTTTCCTCAGGTAAGAGATATGTTAAAATATTTTATCACCTTTCTCTTCTTTTTTGGTTGCCAATAACAACTCTACAATTAACAACTGTAATTGAACAACAATAAAGTAATTAAAAAAAAGAAACTCCACAATTAGATGACTGAATCCTTGAGGAAAAAATAATTAAATGGCTTTCTAATTTAGAAGCCAGTTCTCACTCATCCTTAGTATTCAGCTGAACTATCACCCCCTCTCTGAGGCTTTCCCAGATTCAACACGGCGGGGTCTGACCCCACGTTTACGTTCCTCCATAGCAGGGCCCTGCACACACCCAGTCACAGAGCCGCCGAGTCTCACCGCACGGTCATTGCCTGCTTTCCTGTCTGTCTCCCCCCCGGGAAACAGGGCGCTCAGGCAGGGCAGGGCCAGTCCCGTTCACCAGTTTTTCCTCCGGCAGGTGGCTCAGTGCCTGGCAACTGATGGGCACTCAAAGGACAGTTCCTTTTCAAATAAAGGAGAGGTGGGGGATCTCCTGCTAAATTCCTGAACTGATACAGATGGAGTTAGTGAGCATTCTCAACAAAAGAAGAAATAAATTTTGTGGGGCATGTGGGTGTGAGGTAGCTTTACATGAAGAACACAGGTTCGTTATCAATTTGGTAGATCTACTGGGTAGGATGAAAGAGCTACAGGATGCTGCGACAACAGTCATTCGAAATGATATGAGGATCCCTTTATCGCTTTTATTAGGCTTTGTTGCAAATATTTTACAGGAACATATTTCTAAATAATAATATAAGGCAGCAGGAAAACTATTAATATCTCCTACGGTGTTGCTCAGTGTGGCCTCTGGTGTACGCAGTAAAAAACAGACAGACTGAGGAGCATCCCTTCCCTAAATTCTCCTTCCACTGGAAGCAAAGAGAAAAGGTGGGGATGAGCCCTAAACTTCTATTTACCAGCTGTGAGGTCTTGAGTCATTTTTAAAATTAAAATATATGTTGAGCTTATTAAAACATACAAAAAGTACATGTTTAACATAATCTTGCCTATGGACCTGTTATCCCATTTATGAAATAAATTTTTTTCAAGAAATAAACCTTTACCAATACAGTTTAAGTGCCCCGTTTCTTCTCCCTTTCCTTTCCCCTTCTGCCCCCAAGGGACCGGGGTCCGGAATCTGGAGTTTTCGTCCCGGGCACGTCTTCTGTACCTTTGCTCTACAGGCACATCTCTGTGCATACTGTGCTGTCCGTGGCTAAACTGCACAAAAGTGTCCTATAGTATGCATCATTTTCTAATTTGTTACTTTTTAGCATGAATTGGTTTGGTTTCTGCTTTTATGCAGTCAGTGTGTTGGGGAGCTATTTGTTTTGATAAGTCTGGCTGTCATTACCCACGTTATTACTAGATAATATTTCATCATATAACCATATCCAATCAATTGACCCATTTTCCTGTTGACAGGCATTTAGGGCGTTCCATCCCCTTCTTGTCACGAACAGCACTGCTGTCAGCACTTGTGCACAGGTTCCTCGTACTCGCCCTCGGCAGACGGGAGTGGGACCGACGCGTCCTCAGGTGTACGCCTTCTTCTCCTCTTACTTTGCTCCTGACAAATTGTTCTCCTCGGTGGAATGTTGTGCCCTCAGTAACAGAGTGTGAGCATTGCCATTGGCTCACACTCTCACCAACATTAGGTTGTGCCTCAAACTTGTGGAGAGAGAGAGATTTTCTCTTTGTTCAAGCTCAGCAGAAAGGGGCTCAGGCAGGTCTTTCATTCAAGTAGGGAAAGTGAGGGACAGAAAATGGGGAAGAAATCAAGGCCACACTGGACAGTGACAGGAAGGGCCGACTGGAACACCAACCAGCCACTGGGCTTGTGGACCACAGCTCTGCTCTGCAGCGGGAGCTACAGAGCAGGAGAGAAGGCACTCAGTCCTCTCCCTGTAGGGAGCTTTGGTGTCTCGGTGATGTATGCCAGGCGTTGGCAGGAATATGCCAATGGAGGGCCAGCTCAAAGTCCCTAGGACTGGACAGATGAGGACATCAGGGTCCCGGTGCAGGGTGGTAAGGACCGTGGCAGCGACAGGGTTCTCTGGAGCAGAGAGGGAGGGTGCCAGTCAGAGGTCTCCCTGTATCTCCAACCTCTTCTCCATCTTCTGCACCTGCCTGTCTTCTGCTGCTCTCCCCCCTGAAGTTTCCTCCAGCTCCTACAACTCCTGTGTCACACTGTAGTTGCAGTCAGCCCCACACCCGGGAAAAATGCTCCCATGTGTCACAGTGGTTATTTTGCACATGCTGGGGTTGTCTTCTCAGTACGGTCTCCTCATTGCCAAGACCCAGATCTTCTGCTGTCTTTCCATTCCTCATTGCAACCTCGATGGGTAAATGTATCACGATTCCCAAGTGTCTAACGCAGTACCTGGCATGGAGTAGAAAGTCAGAAAAAGCTTGTTGAGTAAACACAAGTCAACAAGGAATCACGATGAAATGGTATAATTAACAGAGACCTCTTGAGAATAGAATCAACCCTTCCCTTTTTGAGATTGGGGGTCCTTTCATGTTTTGTCATGCTTTTGGAATAAAAGGATGGTATGGGGGGCATGTGCCACTAAATAAACAGTAAGTATTACAGTTCTCCTGGCTTCAGTGTTTATTCCAAGCCCCAAAGCAATCCTTGACTTTCGCAGTTTGTCCTCTGAGTTTCTAAGGCCTATAGTACATAGTTCTGATTAATTACCGTCATGAATATTCTGGGCCAGTTCGGAGTTCTAATATCCCGTAGAACTGTCCCCACTACAGCCTTGACAGAGCCTCTGAAAGCGTTGAGTTCGCGCAAATGACGTCACCAGTAAGAACACTCCTGTTCCTTCCCTAACCACATGCCAGTCTTCCTACCGGGGCTACAAATCCCTCCGCACAGATACCGCCTTTTCCCTCTCTCGGTCTCCAGCGCCTGGCGTGGGCTCAGGCCGAGAACAGGCACAGCGTGGAAGACAGTGTGGCAGGTCCTCAGGAAGTGAACAGAAGTATCAGATGACCTGGGTATGTACCCCAAATAATCGACAACGGGTGTTCCAGCAAACACGTGCGCGCAAGTTGTCTTTTTAATTGAATTAATTGGGATGACATTGATTCGCAAAAATATTTATAATAGTGTTATTTATAATAGCAAAAATGTGGAAAAAACCCAAATGACCACCAGCCATTAAATGCATAAACAAGAATGTACTACATCCATACAATGGAATAGTATTCAACAATAAAAAATACTGAAGTGACACATGAAAAATTATAATTCGTGCTGCAACAGATGAGCCTTGAAAAACATGCTCAGTGAAGGAAGCCAGGCATAAAAACCACACACTGTGTGATTCCATGTATGAGAAATACTCGGAACAGGTGGATCCAGAGAGACCAGGAGCAGGTCAGTGGCTGCCAGGGACTGGGGCAAGGGAGGGATGGAGCGCGGCTGTTCCATGGATTCCGGGATTCCTCTGCGGGCTGGTAAGGGTATTCAGAGATTACAGCATGGTGACAATGTGAGCAGCATCGTGAATGTGTGAGAAGCTACTTTAAGACGGTCACACTGGTCAATTTGATGTGGCGTCTGTATTTTACCACAATATAAAACATAAAATACAAAAGGAGAGGTGCACAGAACCATTTTCAGATAAGTTGGTTAATGTGAGTGAGGGATCTGGGGGCTCAGGTGGCTGGAGAATTTGAAGGCGAGGTGGAGAGAGCGGAGCTGAAGAGCAAATGTCTCCGAATGACGGTCACACCCTTTAGGAAGCCCCGGGGCAGCACCCGCAGCTCTCTTCTCGGAGTTTAAAAACCAAGGCTTCCAGTGGTCAGAGGCGGACTGGGAAGTGGTCCGAGATGCTGACTTAGCAATAGTCACTGTGAAAAACGCCGTTAGAACCAGAGCTGGTTTGGAAACAGATTTGTTATTGTGAGTTGTTGAAATAGCATTTTCCTAGATCAAATTCATTGGTTAATTCTACAGAAACGTCTGGTTCACCACCAGCACCAACTCCCCCACGTCCCCACCCCAATCCCCCACCCACCTCCACTCCCCCACTGCACCCCATCTTTACTGCCTCTGGAGTCTCTAGCACCCCGCCCACCCCTCGCACTGAAACCCTGTGGGGTGGGAACCTCGGGGGAGTGACTCTGCCCACGTCATCATCGGATGTGACTAGTGTTAGATTTGTGCTGAATGGGCTCCTGAAGTCGTGTCCAAAGGTCTGTGTTCTCCACTCTCCTCTGTCCCTTTCTAGCTGTGTGACCTTGGGCCATGCACTCAACCGCTTTTAGCTTTAATTTCCCCAACTGGAAGTGACACATTCACCCAGTGTAGTCACAGGGTTATCATGAGGCGCACGTGAGATCAGGTCGGAGAAATTGGCAGAAACAGGTAAGAGACAGCACATTTTTACAAAGGGTTAAGGGCACAGGGTTTAGATTCTGCAGCAGGAGA